TTAAAATATTATTCATTTTTTTTTTGTATAGTAAACTAAAACAGATGTGTTTTCTGATGTTTATTTCATGAATATTATTCTTAAAACTACTAAGAATAGATACAATTTGAAAAGTCTTATGTTATAAAAATAAAAATATTGAATGAAAAGCCAATCAGTATAGACATAATAGTCAATGTAACTGTTTTTCTTTCTTACAATTATAATCAGAATATTGATAAATACTATGCGTTTATTTATCATAATTATGTTGTTTTATTTCTATTTTCGTTATTTATTCATTTATTCTGTAGATGTTTTCATCATTAACATTTATCACTATTGATAAAGTAGCGAGCAGAATTGAGAAAGTCGGTTTAAAAGTTTATATCAATGTAAAGTACTCGACAACACTCTTGTGATGAATTCACTGAAAGAAATTTGTGATTACTCCGCCCGTTTGAACCTTAAAAACAAGTCTTTTCTTCGGCTATAATATAGATTTGTTTAATTTCTTGAGTAAATTCAAAGGTTTTTTAAGATGATTGAAAAATGTTTTGAGGAGACTCAGCTCTTTTCGACCACTGATTGACTTCGTCACTAAAACATATGTCTAAATTCTATCGAATAGATAAGAATAATTATTTTCATGTAGATTCTACTTGATTTTTTCATGTTTCTCAGCAAAAAAATTAGACTTGATAAATTTGTTGTTGGGAAAGAAGTAGACTTAGTTTTTTGTAGCTATGTTTTGACTTGATTACAATAGTATTCACTTTTCTCTATTGTCTCGTTGTCTGTGATGAGTATTTGTATATTCTCTATTAGTTATTTGTTTTTTGTTTTTTATTTCATTTTATTAATTATTGTTTGTGCATGTTTTTAATCTTCTTATTGTATTGTTGACTAAAATAAATAATTATAATTAAGATTTTTACTGAGAAAAATTCTGCTTCTATGTACGAAACTAATGATAAGCGCGAAATTAATCGGGAAAAAAATCTCAGTGAGAATAACGTGATTTATCAATCATATTTTCTAAACTATAGAAAAATATTAATAATTTATCGTGTTTCAGTGCAAGATTATCATATCAATGTATTATAATTAATTAAGAATTTTTCGATAATTTTGAGAAAATGAAAATACATTGATATATTATATATTAGTTTATTTTAAAAAAGAAATGTTAATTCAAGCTACGTTTTTGATAATTAAAATGAAACATTAAATCTAATAATAATGTTTTTTCTCTATTGTCTCGTTGTCTATTTTCAAACAAAGGAAATATTAAATTAGTTTTTCGTGTCGATTAGACCAATGTACCAAAGCAACTTTCTCCAGTACATGAATCTGCTGGAAATGTGTTTGGTAGAATAAGTGTTTCTGTAGTCAAATCCAATATTGTACTTTCAAGTCCGACAAATGTTACTTGAATGAACATACCATACCAATATCCACTCGGTGGCATTGATGCAGTATACGAATAGGTAATTGATCTATTAGTTTGTACCTACAAGGAAACAAAAATACGAGTACGTATGTTAATAATTATATATATTGTGTTTACCTCAATTTTGACGGGCTTATTCAGCCAAACAATAGGATTCTGAACTATTTGCCCTGTTTTAGGATCGACTTTTTCTTGTCGAAAATCACGCCTGGAAAAGAAAATTTCCAAGAAAAGATGTCGCTTATATATATATGGGCGTGAGCAACCGACTTGGTACCCCATTTTGATACAGTCCTATTGTAAGGATAAAACATACTATTGTTCGGATCATATAAGAGAGGATCCTAGATAACCC